GATTTGCGTTTACGCATCATGTATGAGTGTCACGATGCCCCAACAGGCGGCCATAGTGGTAGAGAAAAGAACTTACCTCACGGTAAGTCGTGACTTTTACTGGCCACGCCAGTATCAGTTTGTCCGGAAGTACATACGTGCTTGCGAGGTTTGTCAACGGGTGAAGCCTCGTCCTTCCTCCCGTGCACCATTGCAACCTCTGCCGGTCCCGACGGAGTGCTGGCAGTCCATTCCAATGGACTTCGTCTTCGATTTTTCCGAAGACGCTCACAAGAATAATGGTATTCTTGTGTTTGTCGACCGATTCAGCAAGATGGTCCATCTTGCTGCCGTCCCTGAGTCGATCAAGGCTCAAGGTTGTGCTCGTGTCGTTCTCGACACGGTCTTTAGACTCCACGGGTTGCCCCGTGAGCTCGTATCCGACCGTGACCCTCGGTTCACGGCGGAATTTCGGCAATCCGTGTTCCGTTCTCTCGGAACACGATTGAAGATGTCTACTTCTGACCATCCCGAAACAGATGGTCAGACGGAACATGCGAATCGTGTCCTCGAGGATATCCTTCGAGGACATGTCCACTCGTTTCCGAGTTGGAGCGAATTCCTACCCATGGTGGAATTCGCCATCAATGATTCGGTGCATGCTTCCACACAGCACACACCGTTTCACGTGAATGTCTTACGCCATTCACGTGTGCCCACCCTTCTAGAGTGTGACTCTTGGGTAAGGGGGGAGGGGACTCGCTCGAGCAAAAACCGTTTTGGCTCTTGCTCATCACGTGTCGACGCTAACGTCGTCACGTATGATGCCGATGTCGATCAAGTCGACATCGATGAAGAAGGTCACCTCAATAATAGCGGCGACGCTATTACTGACTCGGATGATGATGACGATGCTGGTATATTCAGCATCGTCAACGATTATGCCAGCGAGGGAGAAGACAACCTCGCTGAAGAAGAGAGCAATCTCTTAGCAGTGCGCACGAAGCGCACTGAAAGACGAAACAAAGAGTCAGCAGAGAACTTCCTGCTGACTCGAGAAGCGGTAGTCCGTTTCGTTCAGGACGCCATCGCAAATGCGGTGGACCGTCAGAAACGGAACGCAGACAAGAATGGAAGAACAAATGTTCTTTCATTTAAGGTCGACGACCTAATACTACTGTCTACGGTAAACTTACCTGGACATACAGTCACTAGTGTCGGCAGTAGTAAACTACTGCCGAAGTGCATTGGGCCATTTCGAGTGTTTTATCGCAAGGGCAATGCATACACACTCGAATTGCCACGTAAGATGCGCACGCATCCTACGTTTTACGTGGGGAGGCTCAGGCCGTACTGTCAGTACGAGCCTTCTTCTTCCGATGAAGATAGACCCCACGTTCAAGAACATCCATCAAGTTCTTGCGTTCGCGCTCCAGACGATCCGTCTGGTTGCGCAGATATGATACCTCGGAACTCAACCGAGATATCTCCCCGCGAGCTGTCGCCAGCTCGCCGAATAGGGAGCGGACATCCCGCTCGATCTGAAGCTGCGCTGTGGCATAATCGGTGCGATCCTTCGCCCGATCAGCCTCGTGATCCTTTCCGTTCTTCCGCACGGTATCAGTCAAAGCGTAGCGCCGGTCGCGCTCGTGCTTTAAGTCATCGCGCAATTCATCGATTGCGCGATCCATCTCGTAAGGGTCGAGATGGTGAACCGAATCATCTGGAGGAGGTCTTTCCTCCTCCACCACATCATTTGGTGGATGCTCACGGTGATCAACGCTTCCTAGTGGCACCGGTTGGCGTTCGCTTTTCGAACCTGAGGCGTGTCGCCTCAAGTTTTTTAAGCCAACCTTCTCGTCCAAAATCCTTGACATTTTGGACGAAGGCGTTCCACGCAGCCAAAAGCGAGGCCTTGTCACACTTTTGGTTGCCGTTGTACCATCGATGTCTAAGGAAGACATCGAGATAAAATTCTTCCTCAGCGCGAAAGTTACTCGCGCTGAGATCCAAGCCGTGAAGCTCAGTCGCATCGAATAGGGGTATTCGATGGTGTTGGCTTGTCTTGTGATACTATCCATTGATGAGCCGTTCAGGCAAACTCCACGGCTTCAGCTCATCACGCTTCAAAGTGGTACCCTTATCGGTACCACGGTTGTCAGTATGACGTTGGCTTGCACCATCGTCAAGTCGCTCGTGCGAAGGAGCACGAGCTGATCGCGGTGATGAGCAATCATGCTCATCATCAGACTCATCATCACTGCCGAACAGACTGTGACGCATGTCACGAGTCCGTACGTCCGGTAGTGTCGTGGATAAATGAGGCACCGCAGGTGAACGCGATGCCTCCAAAGGCTTTTCCGAATCAGACACGTCTGACCCGCCAGAATAGATGACCTCTATGTCAGGGTCATCATGCGCACGCGGTGTGATACCGCGTGCACCTGCAGCACCTGTTGCTGCAGGCGGAGAACGAGCAGCAGACGACGAATCGTCTGCCGCAGAGGCTGGCACAGCAGCGGGCTGTGCGTGTGTTGAGTCATTCCGCATAGACATGTTAACTATGCGAGGTAGGGTGGAAAGTGAATGGAACGGACCCAACAAGTGCTCCCTGTCCCAATGGTGCCCAACGGGTGGCCGCCATTATTTTCGATAGTCACACGATGACTATCAGTTAAGGGGGGGTGATGTAACGGGGAACCCCGTCACATGGAAATTGTCATTTGAAAGATACTGACAATAAAGAATATTAAGTTGAATATTCTTTGAACAATGTCACCAATAGTGGTGATATTGATGGGTCGACCAAAGAGTCTGTTCATTGGTTGATATCGTCAAGATATCAACCCACCAATCGCCGCAAGACGCGCGCAATGAGTGGTGAGTAGACGTCGTCATACATTCAGTTAGATTAGTATAATTAAGCTAAGTCAAACAGAGAGACAGTGGTTAAAGACTTAATTATATTAATACAACAGTTCTACTTTTCCCTTATCTACACTTCCTCGTTTGCCTCGTGTACGCTTGTCGGTGTATGATACCCTTGCGTTTAGTTCACGCAAGGGTGTGCCCCGTTACATAGCGTATATAGAAGGTTTAATACACGCTAGATAACAGGTAATGTTGGGGTATGTCGCCAATAAAGCAAAGGATCAGGGTGGAGTTAGTGATGCTTATGTTGGCTCTGATAGCGTAGAATGGATTCTCTATGAAGATCGACGAAATGTTGCTGTTTGCAGTGGATGGCATTTTGCACACAAGTGTAGCATCTCGTCCCTCTCACTATACATGAAACACGTAGCACATTTTTTGCACTTCATGTTGGCAAATAAATTCATGGTCAGTATCCCTGCGAGGACATGACATAATAATGATGCTGTTGTGAGTTGATGTATCATGTGGCAAAGCACTGGCGTGGCACAAATCGCCTCTATAAATAATTTCCAGAATATCAACATGTAGTCGGATGTGGTCTCTTGCATCCAAAAAAATCATCGAATAGTATGCATCAGAGCTGTATATTTGTTTATTTCTCTGTCTCGTATGCATTTACTACTCCGTCACACCTATCAATGTGTGTTCATTGTATTTTTATTAAACTTTTGATGCGCTTTTGTCAGTTTTCAATCCTGTGGTGTCCCATTTATCTGTTACGACGTGATGCACAATTTTTATACTATCTATCTTGTGGTTTGTATCTGTTTTCGTGATTATTGAATGCGTTTTTCCGAGTTTCCTATCTTGAGGTGTACTCGTACTTTTTGTGAGCTTTTTGCCAATTTTGTCCAGAATGATAGCTATACGTATACCAGCCAGGTGCCTGACACGTGTCAGCCACTGTTTCTCGTACTTTATACGCCCTGATTTGCGTACCTAATACAGCAATTACGGCACACGTACCTCACCGCTATTGGAAAGGTATCTTATACTGGCTATGCTTGCTACTTAGTATTCGGATCGTCATGGTTTTACTACCTTGCGTATATCGTCTTACCAGGAGCTCTCACTTACACTGTTGCTTGTAGAAGGCGGCTCTATCGATTGTATTCACGAATGAATCAAGATGTTGATCATACACGCTCTAACTCCCAAGTGTTGATGCATATTTACGTCATGATAAGAACTCACTACTGGCTCACGAAATCGCTGCACAAATGATGACATGTACCATCGTTTTTCAGCTTGGTCGTAAATGTACGCTTTCGACGCTCGCGACATGGCCAATATTTTATACGTTCACAACGACTGAGCAAGTTTGTCACAGAAGGTAATTGCACAAACGAGCTGTGAAATTTATATGCAGCATGCAGATTCGTAAGCACAGCTAGCCAAGCAATGTTGCTATCTTGTTCCGACTAATGGCGATAACGGAGCTAGAATCATGCCGGACGACGCTCAAACAATAGCTGTCCGAAACTGAAACAACCTTACCATTTTTGGATCGCAAGTCCATGCATGCATCGTCTGCTCAACAAATCTTGATACGATGCTTCTGAGAACGTGCTGCGCAGACGATGCATACATGGACTCGTGATCCAAAAAGGCTTTGGATGGGAAATGGCGCGTGATTGGTGTATAACCCTGTATTGGTGGTGACACATGTAAACGTGCACTAGAACTACACCTTGACAACAGTGCGTAGTGAGTTCTCACGTGCTTGCGTCTAGTGTTACAGAGCTTTTGCTACATTGTCTTTTATACCGGTAGTCCCCGACGAGACAACTTTCATTTGCAATCAAGGTAAAGATCAAAGATGCAGTGTATTATTTGCTGTTGCATGCATGTGACTGACTAATGGGAGAAAGTAATATGAGGGTCCGGCACGTCTGTGTAGTGCTTCAACGCGCAAAAGGCGGGTAGCAAGTCAAAAGTCACTTGATTGACCTTTGCATCAATCATTTTGCCGTAGCAAAGTACGCGTGACTAAGCTCTCCACGCGTCCTGCGTCCGACTATGAAGCAGCGCTACACACAAAAGTGCTTTAGATGGTACGAAAATGCTCACTTTTTCTTCTCTTTCCATCAAATGGCAGCCGGATTTGCCTCCGACATCACCTTTAGTTCCGCGAAGATATTCTGACGGCCCGGAGGAAGTAAATTAATGATTCTCCAGATGTATGTCATGAATGACTCCATGTTGTGGTTTGCTAAGAAACGCTGTCCCTGTGGTGCGATCCCCACCTCAAGAGCAAGAGCATCGAACATGTTGACAAGTCTCATCTGGAACTCAGCCAGCAACTGTTCCATACGATTGACTTCTTGAGCATAGTTGGGGTTGGGCTTCACGTCCGACAAAAAAGATTTGAGTCTCGCCAAATTACCAAAGCCCTCAAATAACGTCAGAAGCATCGCGATGGGTGGTTCGTCTGGTCTTTTCGCGTTGTACATCTTGATGTACTCCTTCAGTTGCTCGAAAACTATGTCCGCCGAAGGTCTCTCGGAGTTACCAACGTCCTTATAAATGGGAATGATCATCCTGAGGACCGCGAGAGGATGCGTGTCGAATCGTTGCATTTCCTCCATAATTTCCGCCAACGCCGTTTCTTCCTGATGCGCGCGGTATACTCCGTGGACCACTTTAAGCAAATGTGCTAGTTCATTCGGATCTCGCCTCGCATACATATCGGCTAGATGAGCGCGTCCTTTATCAGTGTCCTCAAATTGTAACAGGGTTACACGTCGGCTGGTAGTCGACGATAGGTGTGGTGCACACAAGAGAGGGGGGTTACCCTATAAAGTAATTTTAGAACACAGTGAGTGTATCAATTGTTGAAGACTGATGTCTGTCATCAATTGATTGCGAGATCTTTTAAGAGGTTATTTAGGGCAGGTTAAATACGTTGTTCTAAGGTGTTCTTTTAGGTTAATCAAAGAAATAAAAATTCAGTTCCCCTTTTGATCAGTAAGAGACACGTGCCTTACGAGGCGTCTTTGATCGATAGGAGCTAGCAATACCTGTGAAGGTAGCTACTCCTGAGCACTATGTCCTGTGATTCTTTTGAATCGTTTGGTCCCTTAGGAACGGGGACCGTAAGCTCTCTGAGCTTGTTGACTCTCTGAGTCGGGTTCGTAGAACCAAAGTTGCTCGTAAGAGCGTTAAGTCTTCCTCTGACTTAAGGAGCTGTGTAGCTCCGCTACACTTGGTAGCACTAGTAGTCAATCTACGCCTGAGTCGTTACGACTGATCCTCTGTGAGGATGGTGCAATCCACACCCCTCTTTGAGGCCCAAAAGGTCGCGCTTGATAAGCTGACCGCGGCCGTAGGCCCTGAGTACGTGGAGTTTCTCGCTGCACAAGGTCCCGATGTGCTCAACGCACGAGTCGAGGCCTTTATGCAGTATGAAACGGCCCTGTTGGGCCAGGTTCAAAACCAAGTAGCGTCGGCTATGCCGACACGCTATGTGGCTATGCCACCAGAAGAGGCTAAGCCTCGTCCTTTTCGGGTGGACGTTAAATGTTACTCCGGGAAGGAGGGGGAAAACCTTACCCTCTGGATCCGTGAGATTGAGATGGCCATGGACTCTGGTCTCATCTCACTTGAGAACCAGCGGGTCTCGTTGGCTATCTCTAAGCTCGATGGTAGAGCGAGAGAGTAGGCTTTGACGTGTGGCACGTCGGTCAACTTGGCGTTTCCCACGTGGGATTCGCTTAAGCTGGACCTTTTTTGAGTTTTCTCGCCGCCTTACCAGGCATATCGCGTGCACTCAAGCTTCTTGTCTACCCGTCAGGGTAAGAACGAGTTAACGGACTATGTCCAGGAGTTGAGAACTCTGATGGCTGCCATGCAGTCCGACCCTCTCCCTGAGACCGTCTACGTGACAGTCTTCATGGAAGGTCTTCGCACTGGCATTGCCAGGACCGAGGTCTTTTAAGTCCATCCCTCGACTTTTCAGGAGGCTGTGAGCATCGCTCAGAATGCTGAGCATAACTTTAAGTCAGCCAGACTTGGTTGGAATGGGTACAACCCAAGCTATGCGAGGGCAACCTCAGCAAGTAGCTCAGCTTACTGTAAGCCCGAACCGATGGATCTCAGCAACGCTCAAGATGAAGGTGAAGCTGAGCTTCATGTTGCCGAGCAACGACAGGAGGTGAGACGCTGTTACATGTGCGGAAGCACTAAACATCTACGTCCCACTTGTCCTTTGCGTAAGCAACGAACGACTCCTACGGGTCGAAACCCCAGCCTCAACCAGAAACTTGGTATGGCACGGGGAAACGTCGACACCCAGTAGGCGCGGGGCGGCCTACTGGGGTAGAACTTAGTTCTGTCACTTCTCTACGAGGTAGAGCAACACAGGGCGTAGCCCCACAGAGCTCCGTGCCAGCAAGCACAGAGCGTGGATACAAGCCTGGCTTGTTAGTCGCTAAGGCGATAGCTAAAGGCTTTGAGAAGCACTGGTCGATATTAATCGATTCTGGGGCGTCATGCAACTATGCTAGACGCCGTTCCCTTGAGGGGAGTCAGCAATATGCTGAGGCGCTCAAAGCGCACGATGGTAATTCCATCACTGTTCGGTTAGCGACGGGTAGTCGCGTTACTGTGCCTAAAGTTCCATTGAGCTTGGGCGTGAGGTTTTTGGACTTTGGTAGCACAGAACGCTGTCTCGTCCTGGACTTGGATTCGAGATACGATCTCATCCTAGGCATGGCATGGCTTGAACGCCATGAACCATGGATCGATTGGAGGTCTAAGACCTTAGGCGCAACGCGCAATGTTCCTAGTGGAGTTTTGGAGAGTCATGAACCCACCTTTGCTAGACAACAAAAGCGCTATTGGCGCGAGCCATTGACGGAAGATGTCAATGTGCTGGACATTGGTATGTCGGAGTTGATTAACTCGAATGTACATGAAATGAATGTTGAGCGGAGCTCTTCTAATATGTTTAAAGAGAGTTGTACTACGTTGAGTGATACTCGTTGTGATAATGAGTCACTGCATGCGTCAAGCATGGTTGACCCAGGGACGAAACATCAAGAATGTAATTCCTCTGATGTAAGTGCGGTGGCACGTGAAAATACACAGAGTGAGGACGGCCGTGATGGCACCTCACTGAATGTCGGTAATGACATTAATGGCGAGAAGCCAGAGTGTTCAGGGCTAGGCCCGAATGCTGTACGTGAAGTGGTCCATGTAAATCCACTGGGTGAAGTGTTTAAGTTACGTAACACTTCACCAGATGTAGTTCAAGACATGAGCTCTCGTCTAGAGCGTGCTAAGACAAATAGCAATCACGGGGACCCGACTGTCCCGGCCTCTAGGAGGCGTACGGTTTCTGTGAGGAAACGATTCCAGCGTAAGGTGGCCACTGTGAAGCGCCCAACGTATAAGAAGTCACGAAGTGATAATAGTAATTACACAATATATACACTTTTAATGGGTTGACTGGCCAGCTCGATGGCAATATTAGTCTTGAGACTCTTCCACCTATGGACACTCTCTTTGAACTAGACGAAATGTCTGACGGCGAATTTAGCCAAGCCTTACAGGCAGGAGAATTATCCGAGTTAGTGGTCATTCGACCAGATATTGAGTTGAACTCATCCTCGTTATTGGACGAGCCTGTCCTTGAGGACACAAAGGCGGCATTAAATGCCCGTAGTGGATCTTCGATCCTTAAGGATTCTCTTGATCCGTTCTATCCTTTGGTAAAGGAGTTTCAGGACGTGGTGTGTCACAACCCACCGTCCGGCTTACCTCCCGATAGAGGTGTACGTCATGAAATTGACTTGGTTCCTGGAACTAAATACTGCGTAACACGGCAGTGGCCTTTACCGAAGGAACAGTGCGACGTCATTGACGACTTCTTACGTGCAAAGCACGCAGCGGGCATGGTTCGTGAGAGCAAATCTCCTCATTCCACGCCCACATTTTGTGTTCGAAAGCCCAATGGAAAGTGGCGCATTGTTCATGCTTACTATAAGCTTAATGCTGCCACGATCCCGGCTCAGACAACAATCCCTCGGAAAGATGTTCTTCAGAACAATATGGTGGGATGTACGATGTACAGTGCACCCGATTTAGTCGATGGTTATTACCAATTACTCATGCGTGAGAAAGATATTCCGCTCACAGCAGTAAGTACCCCGAGCGGTGTGCTCTGGGAGTGGCTAGTTATGCCACAGGGCTTGTCAAACGCGCTAGCTACGTTCAATCGTCTTGTGACGCAACTGTTTCGTCCTCAACGAGGTTATGCACAGACCTACTTTGATGACATCTTTGTCCATAGTCGTGCTATGAACGGCCGGTCTGATGTGGATAGTCACATCGACCATTTACGAGCAGTGCTCGAGTGCATGCGCACAAACAAGTTGTATGCCAACGCCTCTAAGTGCATCTTTGGTACACAAGAGATTCCCTTTTTAGGGTGCTTCTTCGGGAAGCGTGGTCTTTGACCGGATCCCGCTAAGATAAAAGCCATAGTCGATTGGCCGGTTCCTCAGAACCAGAAGGACTTGCGTAAGTGGCTTGGTCTTGCCTATTACTTACACAAGAATAGTGCAAACTATGCAGACATGGCTCGACCATTATCCAATCTCCTTAAAAGGATGTGGAATGGTGTTGGACGAACACCGAGCAGGAAGCCTTTACGGCTGTAAAAGAGAGCCTACTTCATGCGCCAATCTTGGCTTTGCCCGATCCTGATCGGCCTTTCAGTGTCGTCTGTGACGCATCTGACTTTGTCATCGGCAGTGCTCTGTTACAAACAGATAATGATGGACGGGAACGCATCATTGCGTTTGAGTCCCGACAGCTGAAGGCCGCAGAAAAGAACTATCCTGTTCATGACAAAGAGCTACTTGCAATGGAGTATGCTTTAGTTAAATTCAGAGTTCATCTGTTTAGCTCTAAGCCTTTTGTGATCTTTACAGATCATGCGTCATTACGCACTGCGACCCAGTCGCCACATCTCTCTCAGCGAATGGCCCGTTGGCTCTCATTCTTTGCGGAATACAACTTCGAGGTGAAGTATAAGCCGGGCAAGCAGAATTCTCTGGATGATGCGTTGTCACGCAGGCCTGACTATGAGCTTGCTCATGTTACGACTCTGTCATCATCGGTCACAGACTTCATTCGTTCGGCATATGCCAAAGATGAACATTGTGTAGCTTTGCTACGTGCTCTGGGGAGCGAGGAATTTAACGACTCAGACATTAAATTTTCGGCACGATTGCGTGCGAGGCTACATCGATATTCCATCGATCAAGGCCTGTTGTGCTATAGCACAGATATGGAGAATACTCCCCGTATCGTTGTCCATCATGATGAGGAATTGAAGTATCGCATCCTCTATGAGGCGCATGATACTGCGGTGAGCGGTCATCTCGGTCGAGAAAAGACATATAGCGCCGTGAGCCAATATTATTGGTGGCCCAAACTTTACAAATGGGTAAGCACATATGTGCGTACGTGCGAAACGTGTCAACGGGTGAAACCCTCAGCTCATGCGGCTGCGCCGCTCGCTAGTCTCCCTATACCCTCTGGGTGCTGGGAGTGCATCAGCATGGATTTCATGTTCGGTCTGCCGAAAGATGGGCAAGGCAATACGGGTATTGTGGTCTTTGTTGACCGTTTGAGCAAGATGGCTCACTTGGCGGCTGTGCCAGATACCTTTGATGGTGAA